TTACTTTACAAGCAAGCAATTCATTCGTTAGATTACAGCTGGAGTTCGGGAATTGAAAGTTGACCAATATTTCCCTCATTCAATGTGATCGGGAACAAATGCTTTGGACTTGCTATAACGAAAACATTGCATAATCCCCCAAGGCGATCGAAAATTGCAAGATGATTTAGTTAGTCTATCTGTAACACACTCTTCCGTTGTGTAAATGTTTTTGATTAGTTCAAATCCATTTACCCACATCTTTTCTATATCTATATGCCTACTATTGAGAGATAAGGGAGCCACCGTAGCGTTTATCGATCGAGCATTCACGGCTGTGAATGTGGTTATGGCTACAGGCTAATATAGGCTAACTAAAATAGGATCCGGCGCAAGGGGAATTTTACGCGGAAGTGCCTACTTGATAGCCGGACTTCTTATTTTTCAGGCTATCCGCAATCCATAGCGTGAAATTTTCGAATAACAGATAAAAGCCATTTACAAGTTCAATATGCTAATGTGGCGCCTAACATAGAGATGTTGTCGTTAGCTAAGCATAAGGCAGATTTTTTGCATGTTTAACAAATTTTAAAATCTTTATATATATATATATATATATATATATGTCTCGCTATTAAACACCCTATTCCACTTCGCTTCATACAATTGTTCATATAAAAACTTTTTCTTTACATGAGGGGTGGCCGAAATAGTCCGAGCAGAGTCATTCTCAATAACGTTTGTCTTTGGGTCAAGACATGTTCATCAGAATATCTCAAAAATTGCGACTTGTCGTTTGAACATGAGAATGTAAAACGAACTGGCGGACATACAGTGCTTTTGAATCGATCACCGGCACAAACTAAATATATTCTTGCACTACAAGTGGTGAAGAACATAACAAATTCTAAGGAAATAATTTGAGGTCACTTATTTCAATACATTTATGAGAGATCTATCAGTCTCGGAACTCTTCACTTCTGAGTTGTCCTCATTCGAATGCTATAAAATGTCATTCTCCCAATAATTTATCAAGCGCTGCTAATAGGTATGCTCAGCTGCCGAGAGCGGTGCATGTCGCTCGACTTTCCTCTAACTTTTCTATTTTATTCACTTCTCTAGCGTGTTGAAGAGGAAGTAGTATTACGAAGCTTTTAAATAGTTTCGAATTTCTTTTTTTTTTACCCGGACCATAGGGAATAGGTGATTTCGCAATTGATCGAAAAAAAGAAAGAAATCGGGGACATGTCATCACAACTTAACCTCAAATGAGAGTAAAGGAGAGTAAATGGCGCTTTCATAATATTTAACTAAAAATCCTTCTGTTAATTAAAGCGTTCCAAGTCAATATCAAATTCTTACTTTACCGACAGGTTGTATTTCAATTCTTTTTACTACTAAATGAGAGACAATGAGGACCAAAGATTCGTTGTAAGCTGAATATAATTTTATCCTTGTGTTACCTGTATTTCTATACGTTTTTGAAAAATCAAACAATAAAAGATGTTTTTTGGTTCATATGCTGTTTTGCATGTCCTTTCCTTTTTTTGTGTGCATTTTTTTTAACGTTTTCTTGATAAAAAAAAAAGGACAACCATGAAATTTTCTCACAAAAATTGTTTTCTTTTTGTTTTATTTCTTTTTATTTGTCGGTTGGCAACATATGTTTGAATCGTCTTCTGAGTACGTCTTGTAAATATTTTGCATTTATTTTTTTAGGTAATTTTTTCTCATTCAGTCATTTGTGTTTTTCAAGGCTTAGCTGAACGTAGACCACAAAAGCCAAATTTGTTGTAATTATCCTTAAGTTGTAGGTGTAATCAGGTATTAGTTCTTTTCTATGCTGATTTTTTAAATGTAATTATAGGCCTTTTTTCGTTTTTTTTTTTTTTTTTTTTTTGACAAGGTTAATTACCCGAATTTAGTCAAATGACTTTTTACGGTTATAGTAAAAGTGAAAAATTTGGTTTTGAGCAAAATTTCAAAAACTCGAAATATTTTGATTTTTCTCTTTAACACCACTCTAACTGTGTTTATCTATATATATATGGGAAAGTTATTTACAAAGAAACCTATATCCTTTATTTTTAGTCCTCTTAAACCATACAATAAAAGCTTCAAGTGTACACTTTCTTTACGCAATTTACATCCCTTGATAATATTACAAAAAAAAAAAAAGGATATCCTGGCTTTTGTTCATATGTTTTCTTTTAACCTTTTTTAGGTGATAATCTGTGTATTCAAGTATGCTGGACATTGCACTTAACATTCTTATGTATATATTTTATAGTTAAAATATGTGTTTGCTCTATAAAACATCTTATAAGATGCCTTAGGTTCTTTGGTAGATATTATCTCTGGTATTACACTGGGCTTATGTGTTGAGGATATCCCGTGGGAGCTATAAATTTAATAAGTTTCGTTTTTTTTTTTTTTTTTGTTTATTATTTTGCAAATGGCCAAATAATGGATAAAAAACAATGAAGATTTCCTGAAAAGGAACACAGTAGTTGATGCGTCCTCGTAAAATTGGAAAAAATTATTTTCGATTCGACATTTAAATAAAAGCAACTAAAAATAGTGTAGAGTATATCTGCCTACGACTTTACAGTATTTCATATAAGGCGTTATATCGGAGTCTGTTCGTACTTGAGCCACAACACGTCTGAGCATAAAAATTACGCAAAACTTGCAGGGTAAAAATAAGACGGACGGACGGATACCCGGATAGACAAGCTTAGATGGATTCAGCATGAGATGCTGATTCAACTGATACAGTAAGAGCTGGGTCTATCTCAAGCCTATCTATGTGTTACATACATCCACAAATACTTGTACGAGGCAACAAGGACGGTGGAAGAAGGTAGTTAGGTAGGAAGGTAGGACGACAAAGTTAAAATAGCTATCCGAATAACGGAATGGCAACAAAGATGGGAAAATGACACCAAAGGAAGGTGGACCTACACCCGCAACATTGAGTGGAGAGAAAAACACGCCGAAGCAACCTTTGACTGATTATGAAAATCTCTCAAACTAGTTCTGCCGTTTCAGCTTACGAGCGGATAACGTATGCGACCTGAGCCGAAGAATTAACAACGACGCGCCTTACCGGCTTGGGCATATTTCAGTAATACACTTTCCACATGTGTGGAAGTTGAAATCACGTTATCGTTTATGTTGATGAACAAGGAGAGATGGAAGATATGCACCAGTTTTTCGCATGACATACTTCGATATAAAGAAAAACGAAGGCGACATTCGAAACTCCCTAATTTTATGCAAGAAAGGGTGAGGTAGGATGACATAGTTAAGATCACCGTTCAAACAGCCTTGAGATAATGCGGAGACGGTTCCGGGATGGGTTTTTATCCCGGTATAAGCCAACTAATAGCCGGTGCGCTGCCACTATATGCCAAATATATAACCTTGCGCCAGAATGTATTTACGGTGCGATTAAGCTGTATATCAAGCGATGTAAGGTATAAAAAAAAAATTTTATTAGGATTTAAAAAATATTTTAGGGAAAGCTGTTAGGAGATAAATAGCACAACAGAGCCATGTCGAATTAGCCAAAATAGACACATAATCTTGCGCAGATTAAAATGTACAGACTTTAAGTAGAATCAAATTAATTACACTATTTCAATATCTATGAATACTCATCGTAAGCACTATCCGTATACTTGTTCGTTAGTCATTACTCATTTTCATTTTGTTCATTTTCTGTTCGCACCTTCCTTCCTATCGAACTTATGATCATATCCATAAATGTGTGACCAAAGTTCGGGAAGCGACGTTTCTTTGTCCGATAATATGATTTACATTTCATAAAACATTTTTATTTATATTTTAACGACAGGACTTTCCTCTTAAAATGTTCTTATCTTTTCCAATTAATTGACATAGCACACAGACAAATCATGTCAAAAGAGAAGAGAAAGCTCCCATCTGCTGAAAATTCCGCGTCAGAATATTTCAGAAAACTTGTAGGTGGCGTTTTTAAAACATGTTAAATTTTAAAGAACGTCTTGCTAAATTTCCAAGCAAAAGCCGAAAGTTAATACAATAGATAGTTAGTCATAGTATTAGTACAGTAGCGTTGGGGGGAAATATGGTGACTTCTATTCAATTTAAGTTCTTCTTAAATGACGCTCGTTTTTCCTAGTTTGTTTCATAGGAGCTTTATACAACCCCTAAAATTATAAGTGTAAACAATATTTTAGTTTACCAGAAGTAATTTTTTCATATAAGAAAGAAAATCACAAATGTAAACCGTATTTTCGGACATCAATAAATTGAAATATTGAGCAAATTTTCAAACAAAAAGGGTGATATTTTTGCATTATAAAAAGCTAATGCCATTCTAATCCCATTTAATATAAAACATCTTGCATATAAATTAAAAATTGTGTGAGTGTGTCCGTTGTTGTCGGAATTATTTCTCTGTCAATGGTTTTATTTCTTAATTTCCTTGCATTTACAAGATTTTGAATCGGATGGTTTGCATGCATAGTCCCCTACTGAAATCGTGACGTTGTCAGGGACACAAGATCTCGTCAAAATTTAGTCGATAGCGCAACCGCCAATTAAAATTAAATTTGATCGAATCGAGTCGAATTCAAAATGAAGTTACATTAAAGGGGCCAGAAGAAAACAGTTTCTTCGATTGCAAGTCATGACATAACACTCTTGAAAGCAGATAAAGCGAAGTATTACCTTATGATTCCTTATTAGTATAACTTTTGCTCGACTTTTAATTGAAGAACATTTTTTTCAAAGATTATAACCGAATTTTCCAAAACGATTGTGAAAAAGAAATTAAAAAAAAAAAAATTTTTTCTTTCAAGTTAATCTAATTTCAATGAAGTATCAATTCCCGTAGGTCATTGTAAAGAACCCCCAGAAGGGTGCTTGGAAAATGATTCCTACCCTTTTTGTTTTGTTTACTATATCTTGCATCATTCTTTGCTTCCGTTAATTGCATATTATATTTGATTATATTAAGCTATTTATACACCTACATGGTTGACCAACAGGTACTTGGTGTTCATCGTGTTCATCATGTTCATGCAGTTGCGTGTCATCTTCTTCGGTTTCCTCGTCATCGTTAATTTCAGTTTTTAAATTTGTTAAACACGGAAGACTTGAATTATCCAATAAACTTGTATTATCCTTTGAGTTATTTGATGAATTTGTTTGATTATTCCAAAGTCTTTGTTGTTGTAAAACCATCATAGTTGCTCATCGATTGAATTTTATTTTAATATTTAATAATGAATTTTTTACATATTATTATTAACACTCCGTTATTTTTTTTATATCATTTATTATTATTATTATTATTATTATTTTTTTTTTTTTTTGAAAATTACAACGCACACATTTATAAAATGTATTCAAATTTAATTAATAATTAAATTTTTCTAATCAATTTCAATGATGGACAACACATCTTTAAATTATCATATATTTTATTTTTAAATATAATTTGAATAAAATTTTGTTTATGTATATGCAAAATTTACAGCAAACTATATGTGCTCCTGTGTACGCACTTCAAATGCAACTGAATCATGCTTATTAAACCGTCAACATCTCGCCCGTACCCGTAATAATATTAAATTCTAATATCAAAACACACATATATACACAGACACACACACACACATGCAATAAGTTTTCATAATTTCTATTGCCGTTGTCGTTGTTGTTGTTGTTGCTATTGTTTTTGTTCTTTTTTTATAAGGAAAAGTATCCAAACGAAAAAGTACAAAAAAAGCAGAAAAATCGTCAATTTCCTGAGAGAGTTACACCGTTTCACTGAGGTCCTTACAATTTACTACGTATTATTGTTATGACTTGCATATGCATACCGTTATGTTCAATAGTGTTAGTATGCATTTTCGTGTGTTTACTTAACTACCTCCTCGCCGTCTTCTATACCAAATACACAATGTTGCTCTTTAAGTTCCTTCTCTTTCTCCTTTAAAGTCATTTACTTTTGAGAGAAAAAGAAAGAAAAAAAGAAGAAAAGGATTTTTGCATTTTTCTCTACTTTGATTGTCTTTATTATGCTGTCTGTATTTGTGCATGCGTGTGTGCCTAAGAGAACTCATAAAGTTGACATTGTTGTTGTAGTTGTGTAGTTGGTTTTATTGTTCCTGACATATCCTCTTGGAATTATATTGTAATGTGACTATCAACTAAAAGCCGTATAGTCGTCGTCTGCTCGATTCGCTCTCTCTCTCTCTCTCTCTCTCTCTCTCTGTTTCCTCTCTTTAGTGAAATGCATATAGAAAATAGAAGGAATGTTGTCATGAGCCATTTTTATGGCTATGTATGAGATGAAAAACTCTTTCTCTTCCCCTTTGCAGTAAACGCCGGCAAATCTAATGCGAACATTTTTCTCTACAAATGCAATCCACAAGACTTTTTCTATATGAAATCTAACAAGAAATTGACTATATGTACCCTGCATATTCTGTGCTCTTTCTCTATGTCTCTCTCTCTCTCTCTCTCTCTCTCTGTCTCTCTCTTTGTCTTTCTCCCGCACACATACACCACCTTTCTCATTCTTTTCCTCTCTTGCATATCTGCTCGTTTGCTTATTATATCCTTTTATAAAATTACCATATATATCTGAAATGCGTATGTGTGGCGTTGTGAGCGTGTTCGTCTGTGTGTGTACAAGCGAGTTGCATATCTTGGTTGCTTCTCATTATACTTTCCTTTACATATATTGTTAGTGCGATTATTAGCATACATATACCATATTAGTTGTTATTGTTGTTGGTGTTGCTTTTTGTTGCAATCTTTTGTTCATAGTGTTAGTTTTTTTTATTACATTCTTTTATTATTATTATTGCTTTTTTATGGTAATGCATTGCGCATTTTCCAGCTTTTTAAAATGGGAGTGGCTTATGCATATAACTTTTTAGCATAAATAGAATTTTTTTTTTTTTTTTTTCATATATGAACATAAATATGTACGTATATACACGTATATATGACAGAAGAGGTAGCCTCGCATAAGTGTGTGCATAATGCAGAAATTATTATTTTCTTACTACTTTTTGCCATAATTGTGCGATTGTGCAGACGACGAACCTTTTCCCTTATATTATATATGTACATATTCCCATTGTGTGCATAAGACGAGATGTAATATTTCGAAAATATATTTTCAGGTCTTGGTATATATACGAAAAAAACCAATGCGGGAATAAGGAGGAAAGAAATTTTCAGTTATCCATATGCAGAAGGAAAAGCCAACACCTTATAATTTGCGCTTAAGAGTAGGTTACAAATTTTCGAGACATTTTTTGGACTAAATTTACGTTACGGAATTAAAAAAGAAAATAATTTCTAATAACTTCTATATAAATTTAATGAAAAATTTTTATGTTTTCGAGAGAATTTTTTTCTACTAACAAACTATATAAGTTTTTAGTTTTAGTTTCCCTTCTTTGCAATGCTTGTGGTGGCGATTTATGAAACACTCAGAGATAAGCCTACCTACCTTTCTTATTATACCGGTCGATTTAGTGTCACTTTTTGAATCAATTTAAACGTGTCTATCCATCTGTCCTTTTTTTTTATGTTCAACTTCAGGCCGCAAATTTTTAAGTGCTGTGGATTACGGACGAACGGTATTGAAAGTGGTTCGGCTCGGATCACTCTTTCGACCATTTCTCGTATATAGCCTTAATTTGAAAAGTCGTTATATGATGTGGGGTGATGGAGGAAGGTATTTAATGATGGGCCGTGACCCACTATAGTGCGTTTATTTCTTATTCATTTATTTTTATATATTATAGCTTTTCTTGTGTGGGAGCACTACTTAGTTTTGCCTTCATACTTCCTTTGTTAAAGTATTTTTTTGTGGTTTAATAATAGGTTGTCGATGTTTACGAGACTATTTTAGTTTATTTGACAACTCAATATCTTTTCGATACGTATATATCTAAGCAGCAAAGAGTGCAAGTAAGCATAGCACAGCACCATGCTGTACATAAGCGCTGTACGATCGCGATCGGTATCTCTTAATTGGTCAAAATGATTAACGTTGTCTGCCAACTGTATTAATGTTAATGAATATGAGGAAAGAGAGACGGAAAGCAAGAAAGAAAGAGAGGTCGAGGGACCGAGAGAAATCTTTTTTCAGAATATACCACTTTAAGCCGATTTTCTTAATATCTTCTGCTATCTTGTAATTTATGTATTGTATCATGTATGGGTGAAAACCAATATATTTTTTTGCAATTTTTTTTTTTTTTTTTGATATGACCAATCGGTTGGCGGACGTCCTTTAATCGCGTTACGTGGTAACAGTCAGAAGGATGAGATAGTAAAGAGAAAGAAAGAAAAGACAGAATTTGGTAGGATTTCATAAGTGATTGTGCAAAGTAATAAAAAATTGTAGGCAGAATGACGGAATTTTTCATAGATATTACCAATGTGGTTGTAAATCTAACTTTTTCCATTCGAACTTCGTATTGGAAATATTCATTTTTGCCTATAATTTTAACATAATGTATATCTTATGGTTGTATGTACTACGAAATGAATCCTGCTTTTTTTTGATATCACCAGACACTTAAGGGATGTCGTCCCCTATACGGGTCAGAACGGTCAGGAGAAGTGAGAACAGAGATAGAGGAGAGCAATGAATGATTTGCGATTAGCACTTAATGGAGTTTCATTTGTTTGCATTGGTAAAGCGGCCAATACAGCTTCTATGTTGAACGGCTTGCTAACGCTTTCCTAGCTTCAATAGTTTCTTAAATTCATTAGGCAATAATAAAGGGAGGGACATTGAAAATATATGAAATTACTTTCGATCCAAATGTTAATTGCTTCAAAGCACCGAAAGAAAAACCTTTGGCCTGGCAATAAGGCTATGGGGGCTTTTTTCAAACGCTTATTATTTTTTTTGTTTTGATGAGCATATGTGCACTTAATCCCATAAACATATAATTTGTAGTTAAAGAATTTGCCATAATGTCGAAAGGGAAGAAGAAGCTTAGAATATTGAATATTCACGATTCATTTAAGTGAAATGTTTCAAGATTCATTTAAGTGAATAGTTTCCTCACTCATCTTTTCTTTGTAGAAATGTGCGGTCGTTCTCTGGTCGCTATTGGCTCTCTTTCACCTATTTAGACTAAGTAATTCTTAGTTTTGAGTGGAAAGAAAAGCAAACCCTAAACGAAATTTTCTTTCTCTCATTTAATTATTATGTTTGGAAGGCAATGTTTTATTTTATTATTTATTAAAAAATTAATTATTAAAAAATTTAAAGATTTGTTAAAATTTGGATTTTTGTGTATAAAAAAAGGCACAAAAATTCTAAAATAAAAAAAAAATTTTGAAAATTTTTTAAAAATAAAAGCTAACAGTGGTAGCTTGCACAAAAAAGGCAATGATTTTTTTCGTTTTTTGCTTGATGTTGAACTTGCCGGCGGGATACTGCTACAATATGGAATTTTCTACCCAAAATTACAAATGAGCATCGTATGATCTTTTCGAAAAGTTCATGTATTACTAAAAAAAATACAATCAATCTGAACGTTTTTCACTTATTCTTACTTGAAAAAAACTCATAAACCGACCGATGGGCTCTTTAATTATCCAAACAATTTCACATTGCTCATTAAAGAATCTTATATTGGAGCTGCAGTAATAGTCTCAAAACAATTGGATGAAAGTTGAATCAGTGGTCAGTGGTACTATGTTGCTCGTTTAGCAATTGAATTTCACGTTTTAAAGAGATTATCGTTCGAGTATCGTATTCGCATGGAAATTCCATTAGGAAAAGAAAAAGTCAAAGAAAAAGTCAAGCTGCGCTTGCGCAGGTGGCGAGTGAAGTAAATCTCTTGGGCCCTCTTCTTGTAGTCGTCTCCATTATCTTTATTTATCACTCATTCGACTTTATTCATTGATACTAATAATCCCCCTCAAGGATTATGCATTCATTTCAACAATGCTACGCCTGCGTATAGAACGATTCGTCTTGACCTTCTAAAGGAAACGCTTCAAGTTCAGCGATCATCTCTATTTTCGCTAAGCATTTATGAAATCCGTGAACATATGATGGTCGCGGGCGGATTACGGTGGATGTGAAAGCTACTCAAAGTGCATTCCGTAGAATTTTGCCACCGTTGCCGTCGACTTGTGAGACGGCGGTAAGAGCATTTCTTCTTCTCCATATGGGCATGTGTTCTTCCAACCTTGCCATTCGAACATATTCCTTTGCCGTTTCCCAAGATACTCAATGAATAGTAT